TCTTAGGTACCTTTTCAGACACTGGCTTCTGTCTCCCATGACATAAAGTGCTAAAAGAAATGGTGGTATACTTTGGAATGACAGTTTGAGTTTGCTGAGACCAAAGTTGAGTGATACAGCAGCAGAGAGACTGCAGCACCACAGACAGAGAACAGATGTGGCAAGTGATTACTATTTAGAAGAAACACCAACATAATTCTTCAATTTAAAAAGCCCACAAAATTTCAGACAAGACACATTCTAAGAATACGAGCCGGGCGCGGTGGCTCACGCCTGTAATCCTAACACTAACACTTTGGGAGGCCGAGGTGGGTGGATCACCTGAGATCAGGAGTTCAAGACCAGCCTGGCCATCATGGTGAAACCCCATCTTTAAAAAAGGCCGGGCGTGGTGACTCACACCTATAATCCCAGCACTTTGGGAGGCTGAGGCAGGTGGATCACGAGGTCAAGAGATCGAGACCATCCTGGTCAACATGGTGAAACCCCGTCTCTGCCAAAAATACAAAAAATTAGCTGGGCATGGTGGCACGTGCCTGTAATCCCAGCTACTCAGGAGGCTGGGGCAGGAGAATTGCCTGAACCCAGGAGATGGAGGTTGCGGTGAGCTGAGATCGCGCCATTGCACTCCAGCCTGGGTAAAAAGAGCGAAACTCCGTCTCAAAAAAAAGAAAAAATTAGCTGGGCGTGGTGGCAAACACCTGTAATCTCAGCTACTTGGGAAACTGAGGAATAAGAATCACTTGAATCTGGCAGATGAAGGTTGCAGTGAGTTGAGATCATGCTACAGCACTCCAGCCTGGGCAACAAAGTGAGATTCTTGTCTCAAAAAGAAAAAAATTAAAAATAAATGAATAAATAAAATTATAAAAAAGAAAAAAATAAAATGCCTGAGTAACTTTAGAAAAAAGCATACAATATGCTGCCTACAAGAGACTGATTTTAGCTTTGCATCGAATTGGCGGAAAGTAACAGAATAGAAAAAATTTATTTTTCATCCAAATAGCAACCACTATTGCATGAGGTAACTTTAATTATATTAGATACATGCTTTCAGTCAAGTACTAGCATGAGAACAAAATTGATATTATATAATAATAAAATAGGTTAATTTACCAGTAATCTATAACTATTTTTTAAATTATTATTCTCTTGAGTCTCAAGGAATCTAAAACTAGTATATCTCTCTATTACATATGTAGGTATATAACATCAGCACTGCAAAATATATAAACCAAATTCTGACAAAAGTAAGAAATATGGAGCAATGTAATAATTGTAGACATCAAGACCCCAGTTGCAATAATACTTAAGAAAACAAAAAACTCAGACAACCTTACAGACTGTATTAATTATTTTACATATAGAGGAATACCTAGGGTAGATAATTTTTTTTTTTTTTTTGAGATGGAGTTTCACTCTTGTTGCCCAGGCTAGAGTGCAATGGCACCATATCTTGGCTCACCACAACATCCACCTCCCAGGTTCAAGCTACACTGACTAATTTTGTATTTTCAGTAGAGACAGGGTTTCTCCATGTTGGTCAGGCTGGTCTTAAACTCCCGACCTCAGGTGATCTGCCCTCCTCAGGCTCCCATAGTGGTGGAATTACAGGTGTGAGCCACCGCGCTCAGCAAGAGAGTAGATAATTTTTAAAGAAAAAAGGTTTGTTGGGCCGGGCGCGGTGGCTCACGCCTGTAATCCCAGCACTTTGGGAGGCCGAGGCGGGTGGATCACAAGGTCAAGAGATCGAGACCATCCTGGTCAACATGGTGAAACCCCGTCTCTACTAAAAATACAAAAAATCAGCTGGGCATGGTGGTGCGTGCCTGTAATCCCAGTTACTCAGGAGGCTGAGGCAGGAGAATTGCCTGAACCCAGGAGGCGGAGGCTGCGGTGAGCCGAGATCGCGCCATTGCACTCCAGCCTGGGTAACGAGAGCGAAACTCCGTCTCAAAAAAAAAAAAAAAAAAAAGGTTTGTTTGGCTCACAGTTCAGCAGACTGTACAGGAACTGAGTGCCAGTATCTACTTCTGGTGAAGGTCCTAGTGAACTTATACCCATGGTAGAAGGCAATGTGTAACTGGACATATCTCACAGTAAGAGACAAAGTAAGTGTGAGGTGAAGAAGCCACGTTTTTTTTGTTTTGTTTTGTTTTAATGAACCAGCTCTCATTTGAATCAATAGAGTATAACCTTTTGATTATCAAAAGGATGGTGCCAAGCCATTTATGAGGAATTTGCTTTCCTGTGACCGAAGCACCTCCCACCAGGTCCCACATCAAACAGGAGGATTATATTGCAGCATAAGGTTTAGAGAGCATGGACATCCTCTAACCATAGACCAACTATATCCTATCACCAACTAGGCTTAGCAGACATGTACAAAACTTTCCAGGGAAAAGCAAGAGAATACCCACAATATTCATATTTGCACCTGGTATGTTCTGTTAGGAAACATACTAAGTCATATTAAATTTATGAATACCGGCTAGGTGCAGAGGCTCATATCTATAATCTCAACTTGGGGGAAAAAGTTTGAGACCAGCTTGGGCAACACAATGAGACTCTGTCACTACTAATAATGAAAAAATCAACCAGGCAGAGTAGTGCATGTCTATAGCACCTGCTCAAAAATTTGAGGTAAAAGGGTCACTTGAGTCCAGCAAGCTAAGATTGCAGTGAGCCAAACTCATGACACTGCACTACAGCCTTGGCAACAGAGTAAGATCCTGTCTCAAAATAACAACAAATAAATTTAAGAAGACCAAAATTATACACTGTGCTTTCTGACCAAAGCGGAATGAAATTAGGAATTAAAAGCAAAATGGACAAACTGGCAAATCCAAAAATATATGAAATTAAAACACATTCTTCAACATATTCTTTTTCTTTTTTTGAGACGGAGTCTTGCTCTGTCACCCAGGCTGGAGTGCGGTGGGGGCAATTTTGGCTAACAGCAAACTTCGACTCCCAGGTTTAAGCAATTCTTCTGCCTCAGCCTCCTGGGTAGCTGGGATTACAGGTACGAGCCACCACTACCGGCTATTTTTTTTTCTTTTTTTTGTATTTTTAGTAGCGAGGGCTTTCACCATGTTGGTCAGGCTGGTCTCAAACTCCTGGCTTCATGATCTGCCCACGTTGGCCTCCCAACCATGCTGAGATTACAGGCGTGAGCCACCACGCCCGGCCCACTCTTTATGTCTTGTTTTGTTTTTTGAGGCAGAGCCTCGCTCTGTCGCCCAGCCTCACGTGCAGAGGCAAGGTCTCAGCTCACTCTCACCTCCACCTTATGGGTTCTAAGGGATTCTCCTGCCTCAGCCTCCAGAGTTCCTGGATTACAGGTGTCTGCCCGCCACCATGCCCAGCTGATTGTCTATGTTTAGTAGCTTCAGCATGTTAGCCAGGCTGGTCTTGAATTCCTGACCTCGAGTGATCCACCAGCCTCAGCCTCCCAAAGTGCTGGGATTACAGGCATGAGCCACTGCACCTAGCCAATCTTGTCACATTTTAAGATAAACTTTGAGAATATTATGTCACAGGAAATAAGATAGATACAAAATGATGGCTATTATATAATTTCACTTATATGAGATACTTTATGTTGTTATACTCCTAAAAACAGAAAGCAGAAGAGTGTCAAGGGCTGGAGAGAGTAAAATGGGTAATTGTTACTTAATGAGTATTTGAATTTTAGCTTCACAAGATGTAAAATTTCTAGAAGTCTTTTGCATAACAATGTGAATATACTTAACATGCCTGAAATGTACAGTTTCTTACTCTGTCACCCAAGCTGGAGTACAGTGGCACAATTATGGCTCACTTTAGCCTCAAACTTTCAGGCTCAAGTAATCCTCCCCTTTTAATCTTCCAAGTAGCTGAGGCCACAGGTGCACACCACCATTCCTGGCCATTTTAAAATGTTTTTGTAGCGAGGAAATCTCCATATGTTGCACAAACTGGTCTCAAACTTTTGGACTCAAGTGATCCTCCCAAAATCCTGGGATGACAGATGTGAGCCACCACCATGTCTGACCCTGAAATGTATGCTTCAATAGATTTGAGATGGTAAATTTCATGTTACGTGTTTTTACAATAATTTTTCGAAAAAGAAAAAATGGAAAAAATACAGAATTATAAATTTTTTTCAAAAGTTACTTTCAGTTCATAAAAATGTTTCTCTCACACAAAGAAAATATTTACTGATCATTAAACAAGTGGTGAAAATAAAACTATTTCCATGACTACTCACTAAGAC